AAATCCTCCCAGACGCGAAACTTTAATTAATATATTAATATCAACACATTTTCAAATAAAAAATTACTATTATTGTTACAAGAATATTTCTTTGATGACTCGAGACCACACACAATTGAGTTTTAAAAACTTAAAGGGAACATTAATTTTAGTCGATCTTTGATTTTGATGAAGTCATCGATGGACAAGTGATAACAATAATGGTATGACAGGCTTACGTTGTCAAACATTCTGGAATCTGATCTCGCCAGTAAAAATGTAGTTCATACTATTAATCACAGGGTATTGTACTTGCAGTGGAGGCTCGTCAAGAATAAGAAATTACAATGCTAAAATTAATTTATCTTTGCATTACTTATTTGATAACAATAATATTTAGAATCTTACAAATTTGAAACCGCAAAAAATGGCCAAATCATGGATAAATCAAGTAATTTCAAAACTATTTTAAGCGTTATACAGAGTGTTTTAAAGGTCATGGACAAGTTGCTAAGAAAAGATTAAATGTTTTTTCTCTTACAGTTTGGAATTTACTACTACTTTTGTATTTACTTTTATAATTAAGTACATACAGGGTGAGTTTTGACTTATACTCATAATTTTAAGGATAAGTTATGCCAAATAGTAACTAATAGTGAAAAAAAACCTTCGTTACCGAGATAACAATACTATTAGACTTTAAAATGATAGATAATTTGCGCCAATGTGGACATTATATTTGTTTACGCTATGCCTGTCAATAGATAAGTGAATCGATTCTCTTTATTTTGGTGGAGTTAAGTGGTATTTTTTATTAATATTTGACAAAAGTAAAAATGTTTTATTTAACTTATTTTTTATTTTTTTTTATTTATTATTGATCATAACCTTTCATTTCCTAAATTTATGCGTATAAGTTAAGACTCATTTTGTTTATAAGTTTCTTTAAATATTTCAATAATAATTTTTCAAATTAATAACGGTAACATCCAGTTTTTAGATTAAATTTATTAAAATGATTTGCACATTGCTTTAAAAAATTGTTTTGTTACTTAACTCAAATCAAGTTGCAGCAAGAGTAAAATATACAGAGTACGCCAAAACTCGCGCCCCAAAGAAAAATGCCATGTAAGGTACGATAACAGGAACATGTTTTTTTTTTTAATTCTATCTATAAAAATTTTGAAGTTATGAGAGTTTCAATTTTGCACTTTGAGTCTATTTATTTCTGTTGTAAAAATAATTTTTCAAGTTTTTATGCTACAGGCTATTAGAAGAGGAAACAAGGAAGCTGTATCCTAATTTGGAATTCTGGTTAATGTTATTTGTGGCTTTTATGGGCAAAATTTTGGTACCTTTACTAAATAATTCGAAAAAAACATATACAAAATTATCAGTATCATTAAATAAACATAAAAAAATGTCACATGTCAAAAAATAAATGTAAAATTTTTTCCATTTTTTTCATGTTCCTGGTATCTTACATGACATTTTTCTCTGGGGCGCGAGTTCTCGCACACCCTGTATATTCTTCATTTTTTATTATTAAATGAAAATGTTTAAGTTGTGCTACTCTCTATTACATACAGTGGCGGACATGGGATTTTGGACATCAAATTTATGTCAGTTCAAAAAATGTCAATGTAAGCCACGCTTTATTGTCATTATGATTGAAGTTTGAAACTAAAATCTGACAGTTTTATAATAAAAGGACTTCATAGTTAGTTCAAAGTGCAAGTTTATGTGGTTTAAGGGATGTACAGGAAATAAAGTCGTCTTGCACAAAAATTAAAGCTTAGGTCTATTGGTTGAAACATGTTTCGGGTCCGAAAAAAAAAGTAAAAGTGATGGAGGAAGTGAAGCTTCTTCGATTTTCTGGGACTAGTTAGTGCCCGAAATATGTTTCAACCAATTTAAGATGTACTTTTTGTGCAAGACTACTTTATTTCTTGTACCTCCCTTGAAACTTTTAGTTCAAATTTATTTTTGGCGTCGATTTTCCGAAACAATTATTTTAACAACACGTGTTTTTATATATGTTTACTAAATTATTATGATTTGCTGTTATTTTTACTCTAGCTATCAGGACAAAAATTACAAAAACCAAAAATGGGATTAGTTGTCTAAGGGCTGTTTTACATTTTTATGTCAGTCGAATGACCAATCGTCCAAAATTCCGTGTCCGCCAATGTAGTATATAAACACAATATTATTTTTGTTCTATAACTTAAATATTGCTTCAAACCTTTGGGCCGCCAATAATTTTTTAGTTTATTGAACACATTTTCAGATATCTCACTCAAAAAATTTTAAATTTTTTCGAAAAGAAAGAAAAAGTGCAAGTGACTTTTGGTGTTGATGAAAGTTGTGTAAAGAGTGCAATCGACCAAAACGAAGAAGACATTCTAGTGTTAGAAGTCAGCTAAAGAACAATCGGAATGAGGAAGCCTCGCATCGAGCTAGACGTTCCATATCGAAAAAATAGCGCTTATCTTCTTATTGTTCGTTTCATTCTCATGTCGCTCTATCCGTTTGAGAAAATTGCTTATCATTTTTGAGCTCGGTGCTCCCGTTGGTCGGCATCTCTTCGAATAGTTGCAAGTAATCCTCCTGAATTTCAACTAACACCGGCGGCCATACCAGCTGTCACTCATGTCACTTGCTTAACTAAGCCTGTCATTGATGGCCAGTCAAGCTCCGCCATGAGTGTGCGAATATGAGTAATGAAGTAAAGAGTTTGCCGCCTTGACCTGAGCTCTTTTCCCAATTATTTCGCCGATAATTGATCTGGAAGTGGTTAGGCGCTCGTCTACAACTCCACGGTATGCGCTTTACCGTTCGTCTACTCTTCTTTTCACAATTTGGCATTTGTACGAAATATAATCCATCAACGTCAACAGTCGGGTTGTTTTCTCTCAGCCGCCCTGTCGGATCGCCCTCGCACCTCACCCCCGACGTCCCTCGACAATCCGACAATAACCTACTGGTATGGATGGACGATTTTTGTCATTTATTATTGGCTCGCCGGATTGATTTTTCCACTGTGTGGAATTGCTATGATGTGTTAATCACACACAATGCCCAAACCAAAAAACAAGACACACAAAAGTTAAAGAGACAAACTACTAAGACTTATCGCTAAGTTTCTGTACTTTTATACAAAATATTGTAAAAATACATGAAAAAAATTAGCGGTGGTAACATAGTGTTTTTATCTAGACATTTTAGACGATTTTTGACTTTAGGACAATAATTGATTGAACCGGTGGTTCAACATTTGTAAATAGTTAATAAAATGTAGATCCAACTCTCGCGTAATTTATTACAAATAGACTATCGCACAATACATCATGCATCCAAGTGGCCGGTGTTAGTGTGAGTTATGAATGTATGGGTATACAGTTGCTGTATATGATTAGGGCAAAGTCATTAATAACGATTCGGTCAAGAAAATTATATATTTTATCCACAAACTGTCATGACGTCATTATTCATGATATTCCATCAATCTACTCACAATAATATTAATTAATTTTCCATGCCGTCATGTTTTAAATATCAATTTCTGGCACATCTGACCCTAACTGACCGATTTTTTCTCAATTAAAAATCCACATATTTCACTATCAAATTGCATTTATATCCCACCCACGTCTGGAATAGTTAACAATTCTTCAAATCCATCCCCATGACGTCCGACTTACACCCACGTCGGAAAAGGGTTACTTTCCGTTTCTTTTGAAAAGCAGTTATGTCGTAAATCAACACCCGTAAACATTTACGGTAAAATTTTACGGTATGGGGTGTCGTAAAAGCGATGATTTTTAGTGTTATTTAGCGAAAGTGATGACTGATCGATGTAAGTCGAGTTTTAAACAATTCTGTCGTCTGCAATCTATTAACACCCGGAATGATCGCTAAATGTTGCGCACCGAATTTCACCCAGCAATGATTGACAGCGAGGGCCGGCACGATGATTAACGAGATGTTTCACAAAATGACGGTTTCTGAACTCACTTTCCTCCCTCACCGGCAAAATAGCGCGGGTAAACATGCACCAAGGGATGTTTTATTTTAATCGATAATTCCAAGGACCAAGCGATACTTCAATAAGAAAACACGATTTTGGCCAACTGACAACAAATTCAAAAAAATAAAAGAATTTAAGAAACATTCTTCTTTGTTTGAATCACTGTATATGCAATTTTTCTCCCCTGAGGAAAGTTTATTAGGCAAATTACCACCGCAACATTCAACGAAGGGCTCTTGAATTGTTACTCAGCGGAGCGAAAAAACATTTATTCTATTATAGGTGTCACGTTATGAAATAATTCCGTTTGATAACTGTATCGCAATAAAAGTAATCAACCCAAAAATGCCTTACAATAAGCGAATATATTGAAAGTGACGGTAAACCACCCCCCCGAGCTCGTGCACATGAACAATAGCCCTGATCGGAGCCGATAGTGATTGGTTCCTGTTCTGTTATCGACTACTGAATCTCATTATATTGGGTACACACACGCATCTCTATTGTTGCAAGCTCTGCATAGGGGAAAGTCACACATGAGGTTAGACTGTGACCTGTGAAATTTTTAACTAGCGTCTCTATCAGCATAAGTGAGCGTTAAACTCTTGTAAATCACTTCTCAGTCGTAAAGTCGGAGATTTGTTCCAGAGTGTTGTAAAAGCGTATAATGGCTAGTTGGATGTTCTCGGAAGGTCCGTCGTGGCCTATATTTTTTACGGTACGCAGGTAGTACCAAGACTGACCGAGGTCACAAGAATCACATTCTATAACGGCAATAAATAAGATGAAAAAGCAGTGAATGGTCGGGGGTGGGTGCATTGCACAGGGCAGCTGGCGAAATAAAAGAGCTGCGACAAACCTTAGGGGGTCGCAACCCCTCCCGACTTTTGGGGGAATACTTGACAATGTTAACATTTAGCCGAACGTGCCTGGACAAGGACAAACTTTAGTCGCAATTCCATTTTTGACCAAGTTGGAAGTGTAGTGCAAGATGAATCTTTCAGCACAGTTTACTGACTTTTGGGCAAATCCTTTCTACCAAAACTACAAAACTAACCAGTTCTTTACCAGTGATTGTGACAAAAATCAAAATACTGAACAGGATTATACCCACAATGGATGTGAAATGTATCAAAGTGTCAAAGAAGAACCGATTTATGAAAGCTGCAGGTTTTCCATTAATCAACCATATTTAAATCATTTTGACAATTCTATTACACCTCCGATGGTTAATCATGACTTTACCCAACATTTAAATCAGTACGACACCTGTCAACAAGGTATTTATCCCGAAAATAAAACTCTAATTAATGAAACAAGCCTCCAACTCGATGAAAATAAATTAGACAAGAAAGACGATGATTCACCCGCTTTACGTGCTTTATTAACGAGACCACAAACCAAGAAAACTTCTTTTAATCAATACGAGGACTACCAACAATACGATAACAACAACAAAAACAATTTCAGTGCTTCTGAAGAAAGTGTTAGTGAGACTCCGGCAAATATTTACCCTTGGATGAAGACCCATGGTATATCAACTCTAGTGTTTTTTTCTCAGAAATACAAAAAATTGTTGTAGGTGACTCTTCATCCACTGGAAGCAAAAGGACGCGTCAGACTTACACTCGGTACCAAACCCTTGAACTTGAGAAAGAGTTTCATTTCAATAAATATTTGACACGACGCCGTCGTATCGAAATCGCTCACTCATTACATCTCACTGAACGTCAAATTAAAATTTGGTTCCAAAATCGGCGAATGAAAGCGAAAAAGGATACAAAGTTTACTAGCGAGCAAAGTGTAACGTCGACTTTTAACTTTCTCTCTCTTCACTCAGCAGAGACTTCAATGAACGATGTGAACAGAAACGACTGTGCCAAACCCTTGACTCAAATTAAAAATATTCCGGGACCCCCGGAAACGCCTTAGATTTATATTAGATAAATTGGAGCAAATATCAAAACTGGATTGTAAATACGTGGATTAATCTAGATAATATATTTTGTGTGAAGAGTCACTAATATTTAGTTAAATTGTATAGGTAGAAGCTTGAATAAAAGAATAAGTTCGTCGGCTAACCCTTTATGGCTCCTTTGAGACACCCACCCTTTCAATATTATGACAGGCAAATATTCGCCGATTCCAACATTTCGTTTCATCCCTCCGAGGAGAGAAAGTTTGGGGTTTCGACTTGCAGCTGCATTTCAGGTAAGCATGCGCATCTGTGGCATCAAACATGGCTGATCTAATAAGATAACCGAAAGCGGTGTGATGAATTTGCTTTGTTTTTAGTGCTGGATGGTTAAATAGATACGTTTGCGGTATGTAGACATATTTGTTACTTGTAGTTAGATTAGATCGGTTTCGCGTGATGAATCTGAGAGATCAATTTTTATGCGGGAATTATTTAAAGCGTGGTTAATTGTCTACGTGTTGATTTTATTAGTTTGATGATGGTTATCGATGGTTACGTGTGTTGGGTTAGAGGTTTCAGCACCTGAAGTAATTGCCGACGAGTGGCCTTGAGAATAATTAGTTTCTACCGGTTTTTTCGGAAAATTGATGGGAAATTGAAGTTTCTTGTAGTGGAAATTTGTCTATAGATCTGTCTGGAATTGGAAGTTTTTATTATTAAAATTAAATATAATTATCATTAATCATAACTGTAATTGATTACGGTTGGCGCATAATAACTGTCTTGAAGGTTAAAGTGTTTAAGATACCCACAACTATTGAGGATCTTGTTTTGATCGAATCAGAGTTTTGGACTGTTCAAATTAATTTGTTTTGTTTATCAACATTAGAGGATACATATGAATTTTATTTTTGTTTTAGTTTTATTTCTAACTTAACTATAATTTGTTTGTTTTTGATTCTCATATTTATATAATATTATTGTAGTTTTTCTTATTATTATTAAGTAGATCTATTTGTGTAGTACGTTGACGTATTTTGTGTTATTTTAGCCGGAAAAACTTCTTCTAAAAGTTTCAAAAAAATACTGTTATAATCATGTTGTTTCTGTATTGTTTACGACAAACATTTTTTGAGTTAATTGTTTTTGTGTAAATTGAAGGTATAAAACTGTTTTTATTGTAATCTCACCGAAGCGCCCGGAAATCAAAGGTATTTTATTTGATTTACAATGTGTATTTTTTTTTCAAACTTTCAGTCTACAAATTTTATTAAAGTCCACAGCAAAAGTCGACCATATTAAGAATTTGATTCAATTGGATAAAAAAAACATTTTTTACGAGCCTTGAATTAGTGGAAAAAATGGAAAAGTGTGTTAATTTTGTCTTGGCATCACAATTAATGTTATATCAATATACAAGGTCTGCCAACTTTTACGCGCAAACAAAAATTGCTACTAATCATATAGGTAAATTCGTGGATATTAAACTTAATTGTACCTAGTGTGACTAGAATCGGAAATGTACATTTTAGAACTTTTTGCTCAAAACATTAAAAAAAATCAAAAAATCAATTTTTATATAATTTTTATACTGATCTACGAAAATTACCTTTCAATAATTGTTTACAAAATCACCGAAAAACCGAAAAAGGGTGATTCAAAATTGTCTGATAAACTCTCGAATGATGATAAAAGACTTGCAGCTAAGCATAAAAATGAATTCAGTTTTTTTTCCAGCTGTAGTTTCTAAAAAAAAAACTGACAATTTCCATTATTATCATGTAAGCACTTTAGCTCTTTCTTTTGTCTGATTTAATTTATTGTTGAATTTGCTAGTTTGTTAAATGTTTTGTACATTATAAGACATAAATTGGTGATTTTTTAACAGTTATCTCTTTAATGATACAAGATCTGTCGTTGTCGCTAACTAAATTTAATAATAAATACATGATCTAAACGGCCAAGAACTTAACTCAAAGATCTAACTTTGAAGAACTAGGTATACCTCGTGAAAAAAAGCTCAAACAATTTTCTCTCATGGAAACTTTTATCTCAGCTGGATGCCTTTTATCACCACCTAGGAGATGGTCCAAGACTTTTTAAACACTCTGTATACCAGTTAGATACAATTTAAATTAAATGCACTTTTACATTTTAATTATACTTAATTATTATTATTTACGGTCTGCTCACTTAAGCCGCCGTAAATTTATCTGACAATAGGAGCTGTAACTGAAGTAAAATAGTAAGATTGGAAAATCGAGTGTAGTTATGTTAGCGAATGTAGTATTTAGGTATCAAATTTTGTCAGTTTTATGGCGAACTAAGAAATTTCAGAAAAGTCGGCTATACTACCTACAGTTTATTTTACGAACAGTGATTAAAGCGCCTTGTATACGCTGTTTGAATACTGATTTATACTGGTGCATTTTTTGAAGTTGGTTTAACACCAGAAATGCACCCTGGTGTGCATGCGGCATTGAAAAATTTTGAAAAAATCAAACATTTAATTTTTAGAATAAATCTAAAACATACACTCGTTAGTTGGGCAGAAGTTTTAAGAGGTGATAGTGTAGGTCTAAAAAAATTAAAATAATTCAACATGTTTTATTGTTTATGTTTATGGTTTCTGAAATATAACAGAAGGTGCAACTTTTATTTTAGGGTGATATGAGTGATGATTCTGTAGGTATTATTTTTTTTAATTTAAAAAGACTTTTATCTGTGGATAATTTTAAAACATTTTTGTTAAACAATGTACCTAATATATTTGGAAAATTTAACCTCAGAAGTCATATTTGTTTACAATTTTTGTTGGTGAAGTTTAAGGCTGCGTGCCAAATATAAATTTATTCGGCGACTAAAACTCTTTATATTTTAGAAACTACAAATACGAGAATTTGAGTTAAGCAAGTTGAGTTATTTTCGCATCTTTTGTCTTCTACCATCACCTCTTAAAATTTATACATATGTAATTATAAAAATCACCCTGTATGTAGCAATTTGCCAGATGTTATGTGTCTGAGGTGCACTGAAATAAAAAAGCAATAATTTAGCAAATTAAATTAAAATTTTGATTACAGAGTTTGGTTATGTAGAGATTTATATAGTACCTACAATTATTTTATGGGTAAATTAACTGTTATCGTGTCAGAAAAATAACAAAATTGCTATGGTCTTATTTAGTAAACAAAAACAAAAAAAAAACAATGACGTATACCTACTTTATAAATAACTAGTTAGGTAGGTATTAAATTTCGACAATTTTGAGATTAGAATTTGAGATTTTTGCCTGCGCTTAAGAGTTGCCGAATCCTGGAAGTCTCAAAGCTTTAGATCATTATCGTTGGAAGTTCTAATCTGTCGCGAAACTAAAAAAAAATTATTTTGATGCTAATTTTGGTTTAAACTTTGTTATGAAGCATGAGAGTTTTTTATTGTTGTTTTATTTTATTATTTCACTAGCAGATATTGTTTTTTAAACAAGAAACGCTTGATTTGTCATTTTTGTAACAACTTTTGATTTAGTCTTTGTAAAAGTTTATTAGTTTACGCATTCAGCACTATGGATAATGCTTATGGGTGCATAATAATGCACTGACGTTTTGCTTTCAACTCGTTTTTTTTTAAGGTTTCTTCCCAACTCAAAATGGACGTGAACCTAACAATTCAACAAAAGTCAAAATGTCGAAATGTGGCAATAGTTGTAATGGTTTCTGGTTAATTACTAAATTAAAAATAATTTTTTTCTTAAAAATCAAGGAAGCTGGTTTTAGTAGGTCACATATTTAAACAGAGATCGGTTTTTGAACAAACATGTAATTGTCTGAGTCTTTAAAACAAAAACCATATTATTTAAAGCAACCACATGTTGCCTGTCATGCATGCACATATTGTTTGGGTGTAGTCTTATGACCCACATCTTTGCATACCTCGTGCCTACCCGTACCCATTTGGACATATCAGATTTCGTAACATCACTCCAATTAGCACAATTATATCAACTATAGGGTTAAAAGTCTCCAATAAATAATAGTCTGTCAAGAATTTTTTCTATATTTATATTTACAACATTGAAACTGATATCCGAAGAATGTAAACACGTATAAAAACATAACAAATATAAAAATAGGTTACAATATAAGTGATCAGATATCGGCACAAGCATGTCTACCCTTATATTTAATCGTTCGCCTGACGAACATCATCAATAACAACTGACAGTTGAACGCCAGTGAAAACTGGACCTTTGAGGTGAATATCCGCGATTTTTTTGCGATTTTTTCGGCGTAATCTCATTAAGAGCAGGTGTCGGGAGATGGAACAAAGGTCAATTATTTCGTTAAAATAATTATTAGGAGCGGCTTTTTGTCGGCCGGACAAACAAATCATTTTTCTTTGCATGGTAGCAAATTAATGAAATATTCTCTAAGCAAGAATTTTTCGTAAAGACGCACTTTTGACAAGTTTATTTGTGATTTGTTCCAGACCTGAAAGTGGCCCTTCATGATAAGAAGCAGATCCGTGATGGACTGATAATGGTCGATCTTTCAATGGGGGAGAGGTAGCTTAATCATCGTTATTGAACTATCTTAATGGTTTGTATTGTCCACCGTTCGATATATCATGTGTGAGCCGTAATGGAATATTTATCTTCCTTTTGGTTTTCCGCTTTATGGTTACGCCTCAAACAAACATCAATACACCCTAAATTGTTTCACAACTAGCCGAAAAATTGTAAATTATTTTTGAATAAATTTTCAACAAGTATTGGAAATTTTCTTGCGGCAATTCCTCTCAGATATTGGAAACAGCGCACTTCCATTAGACCAGATGTGCGGCCCGTGAATATGCAGCGTTGGGGTGTGTATTGGTACATAATAGGTTCAGTGACGTGTTCCACTAACCCTGACAGGAGGGTCGCGGGTCGGACAAAGCAAGGGGCGAAGGGAGAGAGTTGGGACCAAGCTCTGATGGATTACCCGGCCACCCTGTCAAACGCAAGATGGATCTGCCATTTTCAAACTTACTCTTTCCCACCAAATACTACGAATGGATCACCGGATTAACGACGCTTATTGGCTAATCAGCGATGGCCGGGGTGTAACCAAACAAGATTAAAAAAAAATATTTTCTAAATTTGAACAGTGAAAAAGTATACTTAATCAACCAAAATCAAAAATTTGGAACAAATTTTATAATATACTCGTATTTATTAGATGCTGTTTACTCATTTAGATATTTATTTAATTGTACTTTTTTTCTTAATTTTTAAACTTTTTCAAATTCAAATTTTTATAAAACCTGCATTAATATTAGAAGATTGCAGGTGTGATGACTTCACACTGCACATAAGAATTCGAACGAAAATTTACTTATCTTATATTATTGATTGTGCTTCAAATTCATTTATTTAGATAGAAGAAAAAAATGAAGAAACTTATGCAAAATAAATTACTATTAGTATAGGCACCTAATAAAAAAAGTTTGTTTTAAATTTATACATAAACTGACAACATGACAACTGCCAATTTATAAATCAAATAAATTACACACACAGTGTCACCGGATAGGCGGATAGGTGAAACGACTAATAATAAATAAAAAAATTTCAATTTTAATTTCTATTTTTTGGGGTTTAGTCGTGCTTGGTTAAAGACTAAGTTCTAACATAATTTTAGTTTTCAAAACTCAAGTCAATTCATCAATCATAATTTTTCGGAAAAGTAACGTGCCTTTTGTGTTTCAAATACAAGTGTTGCAAAAAGTTATTAAGAAAAGTTGTTTAGAATCAACATCTAGGCCTCTTTATTTTTTTATGTTTATTATTTCACAAATCAAAGAATTTTATTTTTAGTAATACTTTTATACAAATAAAAAAATACTTTTAGATTATTATTATAGGTAAATAACTTTTTCACGTATTTGTTAATAAAAAGCATTTATCGTGAAAAAAATTAAAAATTATAGATGGCCGATGAATTTAAAATTTGGTATAGGGCCGTAAGTGCTGATCTTAATAGTATATTACATAACGAGCACGGAAAGTGATAAATAACGCACAAGCGGGAAAGTTGCGGACGAGGCGTTAGCCGAGTGCAGGCAATACCGCGAGTGCGTTAGACACTTTCCCGCAAGTTTTGTACACTATTTTTCCTACAACCATAAATATTTTTTTTCTTACGAACATATTTTTTTTTCATAATGATCATTTTTATAATGGATACAAAAATACGTTGAATAACGATTTACTTTTCAGAATGGATACAAAAAAAATACGTTAAATGAAAAAATACAAAACATTCGAGTGTGAATTTTGCGTTTTTCCTATAATTTGCTAGGATATATTATATGAAGAATTTTTAATATGTTAGATTTCTAACAAACAGTGCGAAAACAAATCGCACAGGTTTTCGACCTCGTACGATATTGTCAATTTTCGCGCATATGTAATTGTGCGTTATGATCTAGTTTCGTATATGGTCGTAGGAAGACAACTTTCCTTAATAAATCTTTGTCGTATTTGCCACATAAAAGGCACTTTATAGAAAAATGGTTTTAAAGTTTCCAAGACATAGGCACTTAATTTTTTAGAATTAAATAATGTTAGAAATTAATCTTTAACAAAGCACAGCTGAACCACAAAAATAAAAATTTAATTCGAATACTAGGTCCTAAAATTTAAAAGAAGAAAATATGTTATATTGATGTGAAACGAGATATAACTGGTGTAAACAATTTTAATAAAAAAAACTACATACTATTATTGTTATTATTATGAGTTAAGTAGGTATATCAGGAAATATTTCGTAGAGACGAGTTTGCTTCCAGCCGGACCTCCAAAATGAATGACAACAAATTGTGAAATGTGAATTTTATACTCGCAGTTGTCACTAGGTAAAAGATTTCAAATTTGTTACTTGACGACAAAAATTATAATCTTTTTTTAGCCACTCGTGATATAAATTGTTATTTTAACATTGACTTTTACAAAAACACAATCATACGGTAAAGCCGAAACATATGGAGAGATGGACTTTGGAACTTGGAACCCTTCTAGGGCTTAATCTTTCATAGCACAATGTTAATTTAAATGTTTCAAGTTACTATAAAAGAATGCTTAAAAAACGTGTGGCATAATAAAAAATTATAAGTACATATTTTACAAATTTTTTACGTAAATTTGTCTCAGTTCACCCGTTTACACCATAAGTTTAAATTTATTATTTATACAAAAACATACCAATATAATGTAGGTATAACACAAATTATAACCTAAAAACAGTTTTCTATTTAAAATTGAGCAAATGTTTATGAGTAATTTATCTCTCTTCCCCGCATCGGGAATAGATGAACCACCTTTATTGAGGAGAGTTTTTTAAGTATCTTTAGTGGATATTAGAAAACAGAACTGCGCCAAATACAGAAGAAATGACTGTAAAAAATACAAAAGACAATAAATATTAAGAAAATAGGGATGAACCAAGCTACTACAGACTAAGATACTAGATGATGTCTATGACAGCATCCAGTACCTTACTAGAGACCTACCAAAATCAACATTTTTAAAATTAGTAAATTAAATTTACGAAAGATGTACCTATGTATGGATAAATATGAGTCAACAATATAGAAAACATTGCTAAGAAAAAAATGATAATTAAAAACTATTAGTGGTTCCTCTGAGCCGCAGAGAGTTCAAGAGATGGACTTTTACACATCAGAATATATAATTTTTTTATGTATTTAAAAGAACAAGTTTTTCATTTTGCTACATTTAAAAGTTGTCTTAAAGTTCATACTATGAGAAAAAAAACATTCGTAGTGTAAATTGAAATAAAAATCAGAATGTTACAGCATCAGGTTTCTCAAAATGTGGTTCAACTCTTTTACACTTACCCTACTTATTAAAATAACAGTTTTACTTAACAGAAAAAACATATTATTTTTTTAAGAAAAGAAGTAAGTAGTGCACATCTATCTATTGAATGTTTTTTTTAAGGACTTTAGAAAATTTCAGTAAACTTAAAGGGTTTATAAAAGTTGGACTAAATTTTTTCTCAATATATTCATTTATTTTTTTCAAAAAATTTAATATCTAAATATCGAATTTATTTATTTATTTTATTTAATTTTGTTTTAATTTACTGGAATGTTTTTTTCTATAAGAAAAAAACTGCATCAGTTCTCTTAGTTTCACATAGGCTTTAGTTATTTTTGGACGAAAAACACTAAACTTTTATTTGTGTCTGCATAGCGATTAACAGCTCTTGTTAATGTTTTTTTTATATTTGTCATTTTTTCTGAATCCACTGTTCCGCGTAGTTGCGTTGCCCTGACGTTTCATCTCGATGCTTCGTTCTTCTTGGGCGCTCGTAGTGTCGTTCTTTTGCCACTTAATTTCAGCACTGATAAAATCAACAAAATTTCCCACTTAACATTTTTTTTGCATTTTCTTGGTCTCCTTTAAAAAGCTCTTTGATTTATTCTCAAGAACGTCAAGTGAACTTTTTCTGTGATAATGCCCCAATTAGCGGCCCTAATACCGTCCAGAAGAAGATGATGTACTATTTTCAGCCTTAATTAGTGTTTTATTAATGAGTTGTGGTTTATTTTGCCATATAAATACCGGATTTACCGACAAACCCATGAATTGCAACGAAATATGCCGCTTTGAGTTATGCATCTCGCTTGTCATTAGAATAAATTATAAACATTATGAATCACATAATTGCGTGAATAATATATTGTGGCGGTTGCGAGCAAATCTCACCTTCGCTGAGTTTAATTTTATTAAAATTAATTGTTACTAATTAGCAAGCTTACGAAAAAATACAATAGTTTTGTTTGGGAAACTATTTTAAGCTCGGGATGATTAAGCACATGACATTATCAAGAGTTTATGTGATGAAAGAGTATATTTGCTCGGCTTGTAAATATTTTGATTTATACCAGAGCTTGAAGAGTTTCGATGATGATTAATAGATTCACTCCAGGAGGTTTCAGTTTGAATTTGGCGCCGATTAAAAATTTAAAAAAGAAAATCGCTTTTTCGATTATTTTATGCAAATTTGTGTCAATTTTCTGGCACTTAATTCAAGCCTCAGGTATACAAACTTGAATAGTAGCACCTGCCCGAAAAAAATCCTAATTGTAGCAATTTTAAATGACCATTAGCCACTTTAATAATGACAACAATTCAAAAAACCGCGTAACATATTGAAACCTTTTTCTAACAAAATTAGTTCCACAACTGTCAACATCTTTTCAAAAAAACTCCTAATGTGTTATTTCTAATTATTCCATTGTGTATTAGTTCGACCAACCCCGAATTAATTTCGTTTTAGATGCTGATGTCCGACTCGAAAATATCATAATAATATCAATTTAGAATCCTTTACTATTATTAACCTCCTAAGGTTATATGCTTCTTTATATAAAAATCGTAATGATAGTGAAAGGGACGCACATGTGTGCTTTTTTAAAAAGCACTAAAATTCTGCACCCATTTAAGTAATGGATACTTAATGAATGACATTTTATGCAACTGGAGACAAAATAAAAAGTAATTTGGACTTGGGTGATGGTTAAAAGCAAATTTTTGGACCTTTGCGCCTTCTGTGTACATAATGTGACTTTATTACAGACAGTGAAATGTCCTACAATTATAAAATTGCAGATTTTTCGTTACTTAACCTGAAAAAGTGTGAGGAAAACGCTTAGTTTAGACTTTGAGATATTTTATCATGAAAGATCAATTAAAATGAGAA